ACTGTATAATGGATGGTATTAAATTTTAATTCAATGATATAATATCATTGTATAAGAAAATCGATTCTGAGCGGTGACGGTATGTCAGTCTATGTATAACACATATTATATACATATCTATGGTATTAAACAAAAAATTGACCTATAATAGGTACCTATAATAAATTCCAAATTAATCATATCACAATATCCATTAGATACTTATAACGCGTTATACATCAACAAAAACCGTGATACTATCATAGATATATAATAGTACACTTTAGAAGTTTCAAGTACCCACGAATAATATTATTCAATCACAACAAAATAACTAAAATCGTAATTCTTGGTTTAAATATGAAATTTTGTCTAAATTTGAAATTAAAATGTCTGTAAAAAATTAGTGTGTTTATATATTTTTTAGATTTTTTGGTTACAGTATGAATTATTTAAGAGAATCTTTGTTTTAAATTTTCAACTCTTAGTTATAACTTATAAAAACTGAACATTTTATAATTTTTTAATTCCAACGATTGATAATTTTCGATATTTTGATAAATTTTGTCAAAATTCCAACTTTAAATGCTTATAAAAAAAAATCGTGCCTATGTATTTTTAATATTTTTCAACTGATATTGTAACAATATATCAGGAGCCTTGTATTAAATTTTTACACTTTTTGGCCCAACAGATAAAACTTTATTGATATTTATAGAAAAAAAAACTAAAAAAATTGAAAGCTGTAAATGTCCATAAACAGCTCAAAAAGAGTCAAAATATTTTCAAAATTGTATGGTGTATAAAAAATGCTAATTTAAACATTCAGTGAAATTTTCATGTATCTACAGTTGTTCGTTTTTGAATTGCAACAAAATAAAGAAATCGCTACATGAGTAATCGAGTGAATATCCAATGTTGTAAAAATTTGAATTTCAAACGCTCATAAAAATTTAATTTGACTGTCCGGTAGAGATTTTTTTATTGATAAAGGTAGATAATCTTATAAGGAATCTTGTGTTTCATTTTAAAATCTTAGATTTAAAAAGAAAAATGTTTACGAATTCTTAACTCAAAATAATTTGCTAATTTTCGTGATTTTTCCATATTTTGTCAATTTTTGAACTTTAAATGCTTATAAAAAAAAATTGTGACTTAGGATTTTTAATATTTTTCATCTGCCTTTGAAACAACATATTAGGAGCCTTCTATTAAATTTTCAAGCTTTCGCAACCAACAAATAAAATTTTATTGATATTTTTAGAAAAAAAACTAAAAAAAAATGGAAAATGAAAATGTCCCTAAACAGTTCAAAATAAATCAAAATATTTTGAAAATTTTATCGTGTATAGAAAATGCAATTATAAACAACCAGTGAAAATTTCATGTATATACGTTCATTTGTTTTAGAGTTACACCAAGAACCAAAATCGATTTTTTGGAAAACCAATTTTGCGTAAAAATTCCCGTTTTTCCTTAATTTTATGTTGTTTTTCCCGGCGCTTGTGAAAACTACTTAGAAATTTAAATTTTGACCTCCCCAATGCACCAACGATATTCACTTTCCAATCGAACAAGATACTGAAGTCGAAAATCGAAGCATTATTTCGACTACTTATCGTGTACACAGACACAAAAATAAATAAACACACATCATTGTAAAACCAATACATTCATCGCTCCGCTCAGAATCTAAAATGAAATATTTAGGTTGGTAAATCGTTGTGTGCAGCGATAAACTTTTACACGCATAAGATAGGTAATTACGAGGAGACTGGGCCCAATGACGCCCCGCGTCTTTTTCAATTTCTCATAACATATTATTGAATAATGCGAGTAGAAATGTAAAACCTATAACATTATTCTTAGAATTAATCATTCTTTCAAATAAAAAAAACTTATTTTTTGTGTTGTGTGCTCCTTTATTACAATTATTTTAATATTATTGCTATATTTAAATGAATTAGGTATTTTTAATTGGTTGACTACTAGGGGCATCTATGGGACCTCGCATTTCACAATTTAGATATTGCCTAAGGCCTCACAAACGACGGCCCTGGATCCATTCTTCGGTCGTCTGTGGATATCACAGATTAAATACAAATTTAATCTAACCTGTGATAAGACGGTCTTACCAGCTGAAAGTGTCCGATTACCGAATATCATTTCAAAAATGTGTTTCGATATTTGAAGGGGGACATTTCAAAACGTATCCATTTACATTTTACACTCTTTTGAGAAATCGCGATTTTCTATTATTAATTACCAGTGGAAAAAGTACATTGTGGCCTACTTTGGAAATCGCACGTTTTGCGTCAATTTGTCAAATGAACATTTAACATGGGAAATACTACGTTTTGACATCAATTTGGAAATAGTACGTTTTGAAATGTCGCCCTTTATTTTACGACTTGTTAAAATAATTTAAATTTTGTCAGAAACTCAAAATATTTATTGCTGATTAGTTAATAGTTTTACAATTTGTTCGTTGTTTACCTAGTATAAAGGATGGGAAAAAAAGTATTTTCATGTTTTTGGTTACACTTTTTGATCATAATTAAAAAATATTTCCATTGTGAATTTTGTAAAATAAAATATGAATGTCTTCAAGTCTAAAAAAAAAATAGGTCTCACAATTAAAAAATTTGTTGTGCCACCACGGCCACCAAAGTCTGAACACGCCTATGCCAGCTATCAGTATGTTTTTCACAATTCACGACTGTCTTTACTAGTTTAGACAGTGTAGACATGAGTATGAACACCTTATTATAAGACTGGATAGGATACACTTCGTAAGAGGTTGCGATCTTCTTTGGGGAAGAGAGAAAGTTCAATATCTACGAGAGAGATGGACGATAAGAGGCGTTTATTTAAGTTAGGTTACAAAAATGAACAATGATTATTAAATAATATGTAATAAACTATTATTAAATTAATTAAATTGTTATGAAGTCATGATTCATTATTTTGTTATGTACTGGAGGCATGCATTAGAATAATAATATATATTTAAAACCCAATACTAATGGTTATCGACAGAAAAAGCCTTAGTAGTATTACAAGTAGTTACATAAGTCAGGACTCTCAAAATTCAACGATTAGAATTTTGTTGTTTTGAACACATCCGGGTAAAAAAATCACATAAAATCAAATGAAAAGATTACCATGAAATACTGCGTATTGGTAAAAAGAGTTCATACATAATTTAGATACCTATATTAAATAGGTATATTAAAACAAAAAAATTATGTATTGGTTGCAAATGAGGCAAAATATTTTGAATATCATGTAGGTATGTTAAACAGTCATATAAATATTTGGTGTAAATTTAAGGTATCTAGTTTACGTTACAAGACCTATTGCACTAATTAAAAAATAAAATATAAAATAAAATAAATATTGTTAGACCAGAAAATCAAATAAATATCTTTCTTACATATTCAGAAAAATTAACGAATATACTAAAAATTAATTGTTTAACAACTGTGTTATAACAATTTGATAGACCCCAAAATCTATCTTTCAATTCAGTAGGATATAGGAATAAAAAAGGTGCTCTGCTGTACGGTAGGTTACAAGTGGTTCACTGTATAATGAATGGTATTAAATTTGAATTCAATGATGTAATATCATTGTATAAGAAAACGATTCTGAGTGGAGACAGTAAGTCAGTCTAGGTATAAGACATATTATATACTTATCTATGGTATTACAAAAAAAAATAACCTATAATAGGAACCCATAATAAATTCCAAATTTATCATATCAAAATAATCATTAGGTACTTATAACGCGTTATATCTCAACAACAAACCCTGATACTATCATAGATATATAATAGTTTTAAGTACCTACCCACAAATAACATAACACAATCACAAAAAAATAACTAAAATAGTTATTCTAGGTTTTTTATTATGTAATTTCGTCCAAATTTGAACTTAAAATGACTAAAAATAAACTGTGCTTTTGTATTTTTAGATTTTTTGGTAACAGAATTAACTACTTACATGGAATGTTGTTTTAAATTTTCAATCCTTAGATATAAAAGTTGAACGTGTTATAAATTTTTAACTAAAAAATAATTATTAAATTTGAAATTTTGTCAAAATTCGAAGTATTTATAAATGCTTATAAAAAAATTGTGCCAATGCAATTTTTAATATTTTTCAACTGATTTTGTAACAATATATCAGGAACCTTGTATTAAATTTTTACACTTTTTGGCCCAACGATAAAACTTTAATGATAATTATAGAAAAAAAAAACTAAAAAAATTGAAAACCATAATTGTCCGTAAACAGCTCAAAAAGAGTCAAAATATTTTCAAAATTGTATGGTGTATAGGAAATGCTAATATAAATAGTCAGTGAAATTGTCATTAACTATAGTTATTCGTTTTTGAATTACAACAAAAAAAGGAAATCGCTACATAAGAAATAGAGTGAATATCCTATGTTGTAGAAATTTGAATTTCAAACGCTCATAAAAATTTAATTTGACCTTCTTATTAACCATTTTTTTTTGATAAAGGTAGATAATCTTATAAGGAATCTTGTATTACATTTTCAAATCTTAGATTTAAAAAGAAAAATTTTTACGAATTCTTAACTCAAAATGTTAAGAATAAAATAACTAACATTTACAAGAAAATAAAAATTCAAAATATTCCACTTATAATTGAACACTAAGAAACGCTAGTCTACATCATCAATAACGATGAATTTAAGTAATTAAATAAATTGAATACAAATGGGATTAATTAATCACCTTTTATTTATATAAAAACTGTTCTTGCAACATTAAAATGCAATGGCAACGACAAAATTATTAATCTGTTTGTTATAACAACAATCAACATCACAATAACAGAGATTTAACTAATATATCAAAAACTGTCTTTTAAAAATTAAACGAATTACATAAAAATAAATCTCTGCATTAAAAAAATAAATACATAAGTTAAAAAAGTAAAATATGTTGAACTGTTGGCCAATAGCATCAGTAATTTTAGGTTCAAATTACATTATGTGATTTTTTATGAAACTGCTTAAAATAGCGTAAACGGAAGTGTAACACCAAGGTATATCTGCAAAATAAAATTACGTAATTGATTAATTTATCATTTAATTGTTAACAGTTCTATAGACAATTGATAAATATAGTGGCGGTTAAATGATGGATGATTTTTTAACATGCACTATTTGATTATTAAAAGTAAAATGTAGGTTTATCAGATCTTTAACATTGAAAACATTTTCATGGGGGATCTATCCTCATCCACCCTACCATATGACCGTAACTGGGTAATAAAAATTTTTTAATTCTAAAGTTATTAAAAGCACATTATTCTTTTTACCTATGTCATGTTTTTTTGATGTTCTTCCGATAGGTTTAGGTATTTCATAAAGATATATATTTTGATTTGTAAATTGTTTGATGTCTTTATCGAGTATAGTGATGTTTGTCCAAATAAACCTGCTTCTTTGATGGACATCATTTGTGTCCATACCAATAAGTATTGGTTCAATTTCGAGATGCCTTAAAGAAATAAACATGCATTTTAGTTTATATAAATATTACTGTATATTACTATGTAAAATTATTTTTGGCAATAATAAATATATTTCAATTTGTGAAAAACACTTGGATAGTCCATAACAATAAAACACATTTCTTTGTACATGTTTTTGTGTCAAGTTTTGTTAAATACACTACTCTGAAGTGGTGTAGCAGGTATAAAACATAATGAAATTCATAAAAATATGCGACCGGACCTGGACTAAGTATGTATTTTAACACAAAAACATGTGAAAGCCAAACTAATTATGGTTCATCATTTTAAATTTGTAAATAGCTATTTAAGGTTACATAGTTATCAAATTTTACTTTGAAATAACTGCCAGTTCCTTAACTTTGATTGCTGCACTTGTTTCAAAAGCCCAAAAAAGATTATCATTTCTCTGCAACGCTTGCATTTTGTTTTTTATTTGTAAAAACGCAAAAAATTTTTTTATGCAATCATGGTTATCTAAATAAAAAATGAATATGAGTTCATAAACCCAAAAAATAATAAACAAAATATAGCCTTTGAACAACTTAACTACCTGTCCAATCAAAAAAATACATTTACTTGACCTACCAAAAAATTTATCCTTATTATAATCCTCCCTGTTTGGATAATATTGAATGACTAATTTTGCATTACTCTCATCATTGATCCGATTATTATCATTAAAATAACTAGTTTGCAGAATCTTAAACGGAAATCCTAGGGCTTGTAAAACTTCTGGTACTGTAAAACAAACAAAATATACATATTAAGATTAACAAAACCAGAGCTTACAAACAGTATTTTAGATGAAGGGTGGTGTTGGAGCCTGTTTTTCAAATTTTTTGTAATTCAAACAACCTTAAGCTTCTACAATCAATTAATCAAACATTAAAAATGTATTTGAAATTGATGGAGGAGTTTGACAAATTGTTTGAACTTTGAAGTTTAAAAAACCAAATAAAACTTTGGTGGGCTGACCCAAATGTATACGCGCGTGTGTGTTTGAGATTACAGGCCGGCTCAAGGTATAGGCGAGCTAGGTATTAGATCGGCACTGTGTACGAAAGAAGTAACAATCTGTATTATCTAAATAGTATTTACCATTGTCTTGAATATCTTTTACATTCATGACATGAATCTCATTTATTTTATACTGTTCCTTGGCACAGTCCTTTTTAGCGTTAGCTGGATACAACATATAGATCTGTAATAATTTAATATTTATGGTTTTTAACAAAACAACAAGCAACTTTAATGATTACATTTCTTAATTGTTCTTTGGTACTCCTCGGAACTAGATTACTGGTCTTTAATGTATTCAAAGTGCATGCAACACATGCCCACGCATCGTCCAAAAGAATGTTTTGTAAAGTCTTTTTCCCTAGATTAAATGCTAAGCAATCCGTGCAATATGCCCTAGATAAAAAATAATAAACATAAATAATAGAATTAAAAACTGCATGATTAAATTTATTTTACCTGATGCACGAACTACACAGTACTAGTGTGGGTTTTTGGGTAAGGCAAACGCAACAACCATCCTATTAAAATATATTAAAATGCTATAGTATTAAATGTGATAAAAATAATCAAAATAGTCTTAAAAAAGTATTAATTTTTCAAATAAATATAAATGTTAACAACAAAAAATGAACTATTCGTGTTCTATACTTGCATTTGATTTGTCTTTTGCAATTGATAAAATAATATGTTTCCCATTTATCTAAAATAATAAAAAAAAAACACATTACAACTATTTACATGGAGATTATAATATGGGGTCTAGAACACAAAACCGAGAATTTATTATTTGTAGACTGTTTTTTTTAATAAAAATATGAATTTTGCACATTTTCAGCCCATAATATAATCAAAGGGAAACTATCAATTTCTAATTTAAAAATTGTGGTAATGTCCCAATAAAATTGGTTATTTATTATGAACTAGTAATTTTATAAAAATAGTCAGGATTTTATGCATGTATGAGTATGTACAAACATTGGACATAAATTGAATTATGGAATTGTAAGCATGGGATAAGACACTAGTATTTAAATTAAATGAATAATGCTACAATAGCTCCACATATTATAAGCACAAATAAGGTAAAAAGGTAAAAATAGAAATTTTAGTTACATTGTGGGGGCAATGGATACTTTGAATAGTTGTTAGTTAATGATAATTGAGTTTATTTTTCTTAATATTTATTGGAGGACATTAACCCTTCCTTAAACTGCTAACACTGCCGTTAAAAAGTCCATGTAAAATAAATCTACACTTTTTCTGTAAAACAGCCCAAAAAGTTTGGAATGTTAATAAAAACTAATATACCTAGTATACAATAATTTAAACATAAAATATATGGTAAGAAATATTAAACATACATTAATTGTACACTGAAATATACTTTATGAGGTTTAAAATTTTTATAATCTTTTAACCATACAAATGTCTACTTACAAAACAATCATTACATAGAAAACCTTTAAATATGGGATGTTCAATCTTTAGTTCATCTGAAGGAAATCGGCAAGCTATGCAATATCGGTTTACCATTTTTGCTATGAACAATTAAAATCACAATACATAATTCAAATTAGTCAAAATTTTAAAACGTTATACTCACATTAAAGATATTATAAAAATATAATTTAAATGAGTCATTTTTCTGGTCTATTGATAATAAAATAATGTATATATTGTAATCACATTTTGAGCAGTTGTGACTTCAACCAAGATAATAATTTACAAGAGTTGTTAAGCCTTACCCTGAATAAAACATAACTAAATGTAGATAAATGATTAAAAATGAATATTTCTATCTTTCTTATTCTTCTAAATTCAAAAAAGTATAGACTGTTTTCAATTTAATTATAGATTCTTTGATACTAAGGAAAGGAATTATAACTTTGTATTTCAACCCACAAAGGCAGCCATAGTATATCTCTCAACAATTTTTAAATTTTACCTTGAGCAACGCCGTAAAATAACTAGTATAGTAATTTAGTATGTTAATATTATAAACATATGATACAGTTTATAAATAATGAAAATGCTAAATTGTTTGTTCATAAAAGTATTAATAATATTAGTACGCGTGCACTTACAGCAGTTACAAAACTTCACAAATAACAATTGAGTACTGAAATGTTATTAATTTAATTAAGTCACTAAATTTTAAAATATAACTATTACTTACAAATTTGAGAAACATCAATTTTCATTTTTTCTCCATGTGGGCTGCTTTTAACATTTTTTTCTTTATTTTCCTCGGTAGTTCTTTTAATTCTATTATTTACCATTATGATTTTTTTTAGGAATTGATCTGGAATAATAAACTCTTCTTTTCGACCATTTTTTCCTGTTAGAAAGTTATGTGTTTTATTGTTATTATTCCACTTTAATGTATAAAATTATGACTATTTTCCTTATTTTTTTTTTTTGATCGAAGCGATAAACATATTGATTTTACAATGATATAAGTTGTTTTTGTGTCATCTTCTTTTGGGGTAATAAAAATGCTAACTATGCTAATTTTCAACATCTTTTCTTATAGGGAAATGAATCTAGTTGGTACTTATGCGGAAGGTGGGGTCAAAGGTAAAACATTCCAAGTACTTTACAAAAACGTCAGGAAAAACAAACAAAAATTTGAATAAAATATTAGTTCAAAACCAGTTTTGATTTTTAGTGTAAATAAGGAAAATAACTATAAATACATGAAATGTTCACCATTTTCTATACATGATAGATTTTCAAAACTTTTTTGACATCTTTTGAGTTATTATTAATTAACATTTTTAATTTTTAATTTATTTTTTATACATGTCAATAAAAGAATGTTTCTTTGGATTGAAATGCTTGAAAATGTAATACAAGGTTCCTTATAAGTTTTTATAATAGCAGTTGAGAAATATTAAAAATACATGGGCATTTTTTTTTTAAAAAGCATTCAGAGATCAAATTTTGAAAAAATATGTATAAAAAAAAAAATAGTTTACCAAGATAGTTCCCAAGAAAATATGTAAGCTATTTGGAGGTGTCAGATTATTGGGAGTTCGGGAAGGTTTCACTGTTGAATTTTTTTCTGTAAATATGAGTTTAACCTACAGTACTTATCAGGGGCGTAGCGTTAGACTATAGTCGTTTTTACGTACACTGTCACTGTCATTCGCCTAATAGACTTTTTAAGTAATTTGATTTGTACAACTAATATATTTTTAAAAATATTAAAAACTTTAAAAGGATAACATTTTTTTATGCATAATTTATAATTAGGTATTTAGGTATAGTACCTATATTCTAATCACTTTTGAAAAAAAAATTTCACTGTGCACATCTTTTTAATACCCACGCCACGCCACTGGTACTAATATTGTATATTTGTTAGTTAGAATACCCTAAAAAAGTATTATCAACCTAGTTCTAGGTAAACACAAATTAAACTTATCATTGTAAATAATATTTTAAAATTTGTACATTTAAGGTATTCACAAATGACACTAGGCAAATAATTAAGGTAGCAACTATTAACTTATAAAAATTAAATATTATGTATTATTTCAACAAAATATTAAGATTTTTTTTTTAATAAAAACTAGTTTCTGAAAACTTAAAAAAATTATTTAAATATGTACAATGAATAAAGATCACTGGAATTATTGTTAAAATTTAATTATAAAAACAGCAATAACTTTAGTAAAAATGAAAACAAATTTTCTGTCTAATCATGTCAACTACTTAACTACATCATAAATACAATATAGTTATTAAAATAATTTGTTATGTTTTACCTTTCATAATATCAGGCAATTTCTGTAAAGCCCAATCGACTAATCCATTTTTGGGGAACTTAAAGTTGAACTGGAAGGATAAAATCTACAAAATAAATTTAAAAAAATCATATCAGTGTTTTAAATAAAGTACACATTAAGAGTAATAACTGAGAGTAATTACATAAATTGCTTGTTCAAAATTTTCTTTTCGGGCATAGGTTAAATCGGCAATACCTTTTCTTAAGTTAGATCTGAATTCAAATATTAAGTCATTCTGCAACTAAAAATTTTAATTTATAAGGTTAAATTTTTTTAATTTAAAAGTACCCATTTATTTAATTGCATGCATCATAGAAACAACAGTAAGTTGTTGATTGGTTTTTTTGTTGTTTTTGAAAAATTCTTATGGTTTAATCAATTCTACTACTCTGTAAATGTTTAAATTTGTATTACCTGTGACATAGTATTATCACCCAACCACCAAACACATGTTTTTCCAGGCTTATCTTTGAAATATACTAAATCCATTTTCTTTGGAGAAAGAATGATTGCTAAATATTTATAAAAGAATACAAAAATGTAAAACAATTTTATATAGGTACATAATAATTGGAGAACACAACACCTACTTTATATTTTGTTTGACCAAGTGCTTAACTTCAAAAATGTATTATATTAGCAGATTGGTAACATTTAGTTTTGTTAGTTTTAATATAAGAGTGAACTTACATATTTTCATACTAAGCAAAAAGCAATATTTCTTCATGTTTTGTTTGTGGTGTTTTATCAATATTTTAATTTTTAGGTGAGTATTATGTTTTAAAATGATAAGTAAATTCACTCTAATATATGGCATACATTTATGAGGTAGAGACATAAAATGCAGGAATGGCATCTCTTTAAAATAGTTTGGGCATTAGTTTAAGGTTTCTATACTATCCATCTACCTACCGTATTATAATATAAAACACATTAAATATTACTTGTAATACACACTTAATTTATTAAGTATTTTACATCTGTGTTACAGCGTCATTTTGGAGGAGGCAGTAATATTAACAGGATAGGACTAGTAGGAGCGTTAGTATCATTTGGATATATTTTGTTTACAAATAATTTAATTATAATACAAAGAAAGTTTCATTGAAATAAATAAATAAAGTACCTATGATAGATTTTATCGATTTATGGAGGATATCCTTCTATTGGAAACCTCAATTAAATTATTTAAATGTAAAAATAATTTTATTCCAAAATAACCGCCACGGCTGTCATTAACCGCAGCATGTTGCGGCCGAACCGCACGGTTTATCACTGCCGCGGCTTGTAACAGGACAGTGTGTTCACACTTCACCGATTAAATGTTAGTAATAATTATAAAGTTACATACCGGCCCACAGCTTGGACTTTTTTCTCATTTTGGCCCAAACGATCTGGCCTTGCTGCTTTTCCGCGTCGATGAACATTTTTCTGCGTTCAACTCTTTCACCTACAAAATATTGGTAATCAGTGATCGCTCGAAAATTATTGTTCAACCGACAACAATAACAATATTGTCGCCTGTCACTTTGCGGCTCCTAAGGGACCTACAAATATTACAATATTCGCAAGAGGGTTTTGACGAATTCGGAATTGCCGGGGTCGTCCCGAACGGGAGTCTTAGGGGAGGTGTCTCAAACCCCCAACGTAAACACCAGTCGGTCCAGTCGGCAGTCAGACTTATTTCATTATAGCCTATATAGACCTAATTTTACCTAAGAAAAATAATGTTACACATTTCGTAAATACACGGATAAAATGTGTATAACTATTTTATAACTATTATATTTTCAATTTAAAGAACGTGACACCGACACGTTGGCAGTTTGGCACACTCTACACTGAATATAAACATTTGGTTGTTGGCAATCAGCTAAGATTCCTAGTACCATTAATCTGTAATCGGGTTTATTTTTCACTATTAATGATCTAAAAATAAACTGAAATGATTACATTTTCCATGAATGTTACAGTCGGTAAATCATCATACAAGGTACAGAAAACGAAAACGTAATAGAGTTCAAATTGAATGCCTCGAATGTGGTTCGACATTCGATAAAGATTATAGAGGAAAACACGAACGTACTCAACACGGTGGAAAAGAAGTTTCAATTAAGCATGTTGGTGCTCCTAAAAATCCGTTTGAAGCAGTTAAGATATCATAAGTAAATAAAAAAGTATTGTATTATGCATTAAATTTATACACATCATAATATAGGTAGGTAGGACAGGTACCTACTCGTTAATTAAAATTAATTTTAATAGTACTTAAATAGTACTTCCATTCTAAATCTATACATTAAGAAATATATACCTAAACCTACTCAATCATAGAAATATGTATTGCTTAAATAAAACAGGTGCAGTCATCTATAGAAATACAAACTAGTAATGATTTTCAAACTGATTTTGATGAGAATATTGATGATCCTCCGTTTAAGGTAAATATATTGACAATTCTTACAATTTGAACATTATAAATTTAATATATACTTATTAGATGGTGCAAACTGTTGAAAGTGTTATTCCTGAATTATCAAAAGATTATGTACAATCGTCAAATGAACAAGGTAGTCATTTTGATACAAAATTGAATACAGACATTGCCACAGATCAGGTGATTTAAAATAATAGTTATGTATTATTCAATATAAAGGGAAGGATAAATTTAAATAACCGATATAAGGTTATATTGAAATAGTATATTAAGATAATTTTTCTAATAAGGTAGGTAATATTTCAAAAATAATGAGGATTTATGCTCTATAAGCAGTGTGTATAATGGATACTTTGGCGTATTAAAATTATGATTTGAATACTTTTTAGGTGGTGGAAACTGTTGAAAGTGTTATTCCTGAATTATCAGATCATGTACAATCATCAGAAGAAATATAGTGTGCAGTAGTGTGCAGGTCAATTGGAAGATATTGTTTCCAATTTAAATCATTGCAACACTTCAATCTTAAAATTAAAAGCTGAAGTACTACCTAATCCAATTATATTTCTTTTAGAAAGCCAACTAATTATTGAAAATATAAAAACCAAATCTGAAATATTTTTAAAAAATGTTCAATTAGTGTCACACAGTATTCCTCAGTCTGAATTGCTCGATAAACACACGATAAACTCAAGAGATTCTGAATCAAATTATTGTGTTGCACATGAACCAGGCAATAGAATTTCTATTACAACAGCTAGTCAAAGGCAATATCTTATAAATTTAGGACCACATCAAACTAAGCTTATAAGATACACAGTTAATAATAGCATAGAAAAATCAAAACAACGTTCTTTTAATCCAAGTTGGTATAAAGAATATCCAATGTTAAAATATAATTTGTCTAAAGACACTGTTCACTGTTTTGTTTGTTCATTATTTACAATTGGGTTGGGTCGATCACATGCAAATTCATCATGGACCACTATTGGAGTAAGCTCATGGCACCAGATGAAAAGCAGAGGCATAAAGAAGCCTGGAAAATTGGAGCAACACTTCAACTGTCATTCTCATAAAGCTGCTTTAAGTGATTATTGCCATTTTATGAGAAATTCAAATCATATTGAATAAGTCTATTTTGAATAACTCTAGACGAAGTGATTTGATTAAATTAGAGCAAGAAAAAGAATTTAATAAAGAAATTGTTCTAATATTATTTGACATAGCTCGTACACTATGTAGACAAGGATTACTTTTTCCGGGGGGTAGGGGGGGGGGGGGGGGGGGGGGTGATGAATCAAGCGGAAATTTCAATCAATTTGTTCAATTATCAAGACACAATCCATTAATGAAACGATGGTTAAGTGCCATATCTTTAAAACCTTATAAAGTTACCTACCTCGGACCACGTTCACAAAATGAATTGAAATTTTAAGTAATGAGGAAAGATTAATTTTATTACAAATTATGTCAAAGAGGCACCTTTTTATTCAGTTATGGCTGATACTACACCAGACATTTCACACAAAGATTGTTTGGCAATTTGTGTACGATATGTTGATAGCAAAGGACAAGCAGTTGAAAGACTATTAGCAAAGGACAAGCAGTTGAAAGACTATTAGAAGTTGCAGAAGGAAAAAAAAGACAGGTCTAGGAACTGCGACAGAAATTACAAAGAACTCTCTGTGTACAGATAATTTAGCTTTTCAATCATATGACTTTGCCAGCAATATGTCTGGCTCAATAAATGGAGGTCAAGCTGAAGTTTCAGAATTAGTTGGACATAATGTCCTTTACATTCCATGCCAAGCACACATAATAAACACTTTCATAGAGCACAGATGTAATTCTAGTTTGATAGTTTCAAATATGATTGACAAATTAGAAAGTTTGTACGTTTTCTTTTCAGCTAGTAATAAACGAGACAGCATTTTGAGTAAAGAAATGAGCGACTTGGATAATGTACTACAGCTGAGAAACCTGTCAAAAACTAGATGGACAGCTAGGGCAGAGTCTGTAAAAGCAGTTTGGTGTTCATTTGAAGCGATTTGTGATAATTTGCATTATATTAGTTCACATCAAGATTCATATGACAGAATGATGAGAACAAAGCTCAAGGTCTTAACAAAAAGCTACATTCCTTGATTTTATAGTCTCATTAATATTTATGAAAAATATTATGTATAAATTAAAAGCTCTTACACAAACTCTTGAAACAAAAAAATTATCTTTAGTTCACGCTGCTACTTTAATAGATACAACTATTCAAATTTTAGAAGAAATTAACTCAAATACAAACTCAATGAATAATTTAATTGACAGTGTTATATCATTTTCAACAACTTTAGGAATAAATCCAGAAAATGATTTTAAAATACACCATAGTCATAAAAAGCCACTTGGTTAGACAAAAACTCTAAATCTCAGGTAGAATTCAACATGCATACGAAAAGAATTCAAGTGTGTTCTATCTACTTTTATTAATTTATCTAAAGAAAATTTTAAAAAATGTATTGACACAATTTTGCAATTGTACAAATTATTTTCAGTCCCTTTTAAGAACAAAAATATTTCTATTGAAAAATGTTAAAAATGCCTTGTTATTGTTTCCACCTAATAGTTCTTTGGCAAAATGCAAAGATGCAGAAGCAGTTCAAGCTGAATTGGAAATTTTGAGAAGTACCTATAGTATAGCAATTCAGTCTGATTTGACAACTGCTAATATATTTAAAAAAAGGTGACGAGATGAAACATATTTTGCCATTGGCAAAAACAGTTTGTGATCTAGCTCTTACCGCTCCAGTCAGTATTGCAACAAATGAGAGAACTTTTAGTAAGCTTAAACTCATAAAAACCCACTTAAGGTCTACAATTAGTGACTTCAAAATTCAATGATAATCTTTGGTATAGAGAAAGACGTAGTAGATAAACTTAATTTGAGCAATATTGTCAATGATTGGGCATCTTTAAAAAATTGAAGAATTCAATTATTGTAATTTTTAAATTGTATTATGTATTTATAATTGATATTTATATACCCTACAAAATTATAATTAAAAAAATAATAGAATTTACACTTTAAATATACAATTAATCTTTTTTTTTTTATAAAAATATAAGTGTTTATATAGGTTATTACTTATTTCTAATTAAAAAAGATTACCCTAGTATAATTATTGTATGCAACAAATTATAATTATTACAATAAAAAGGTGAGTTCTGAGTACCTATGTGGCTATATCCTATTTATATTTGATATGACTATGTTGATACTTGGTCATGTACTCGTGTACTTATTAGAAATAATTTTAGATAATTGTTTTTGGAAAATGAAAAAAACATTTTAAATTTACATTTTCAAATAGGTATGTTTTTGATGAATATAAATTATTCCTAAGTCAATAACAATATTATGCATTTCATTATTCAAGGGGCAACATTTGAGTAGTTCTAATCTCGTTGTAGGCAATGGGATCTGTATTAGTCGTAAATGAGTAAGTAGTAAGTATGTATGTACAGTGGCGTCCGCAGGGGGGAGGCTAACGGGCTGAAGCCCCCCCCCCATTGCCCATATTGTTATTACTTTTTCAAAAAAATATAATCAAGTTTAAACTGTTAACTATAGTAAATCTCATATAGGTATGTCTTACCAGAATGAATTCATTTTTGAAAAAACATTGTATTTGCATACCAATTTTCATAAATTATCTGTAATTTTTGGTAAAAGTATGAACTACTTGTATGAAAGACCTTGTATTAATTGTCTAGCCTTGGATATACATATTTTATATTTTATAAGTTTTGAACTACAAATTAACCGCGGTTTTGACGAAATTTGAACTTTAAATGATTATAAAAAATAACCATGATGCCTATGTATTGTTAATATTTTAGTTATAATAAAAAACTTACGTATTACATTTTTTAAACTTTTAGACCGGATAAATAATTTTCATTGACATTTATGGAAAAAAATTTTAATTCATCAAATACAATCCAAGTTAAGACGGTAAACCAAGCTGTTACCAAACAATTTAAATAAATTTTCATTTTTTACCCCAATTATTTTTAAAAGCACTAAGAATTTTTCGATTTCGGCCTCCTAAAAGTACTAACTAGATGCAATTTGCTTCCAAAAACATACACTGGGAATCGAAGCTTATGATCAGAGCATTTTTTCTACCAGAAGAGTTGAAAAGTTACAAACATTTGTAAATACCTCAAATAAACGTCTGAAATCATTAGACTGGAGAAAATAAAAAATTAAATTGAAACTAATTTTCAAGCCCCCCCCCCCCCCCCATTGAAAAATCCTGCGGACGTAACTGTGTATGTACCACTTCCGCGTCGACGGTTGGCCACTCTTGAAGAATTTTGTGTAAAAAATATGTTATAGGAATATATTGCCATAATTTCGTCAAAATAATCTTTTATATGCAAAAATATTCTTTTATGAAAATATATTTCTTTTCATAAAAAATGTATTAAACACTGAAAAAACAAATAAAAATAGCAGTTTATAAAAATTAACAGTTAATATATTTAATCTATAATATGGTGTACCTATATTTAACTGTTGTAACACAAACTCATGAATTCAAAAAATAAAAATACTAAAATAAACAATAAAAAATTAACAGAATAATATTATATTATGTATTCAAACTCAAAAAATAATTCAGCCTTATGAACTCAAAAAATAATAGTAATAAGTTTTAAGTAATACAAATATAAAAAATTTTATTATCTATTAGATTTTTATAAAATATTCAAATTTGAACCCAATAGATAGGTACTAAAATTTTTTATATTCGTATTACTTAAAACTTATTACTATTATTTTTTGAGTTCATAAGGTTGAATTATTTAAGTTATTTTAATACATAATATTATTCTGTTGTTGAACTAGATGAAATCATTTTTGTATTTTTAGTAATAACATTTTTTGGATTCATAAGGCTGAATTATTTAAGTTTGAGTTTGAATACATAATATAATATTATTCTGTTAATGAACTAGGTATATGCAATTATTTTTTATTTTAGTATTTGTAATTTTTGAATTCATAAGTTTGTGTTACAACAGTTAAATATAGGTACACCATAATATTATAGATTAAATATAACCGTTTATTTTTATAAACTGCTATTTTTATTTGTTTTATCAGTGTTTAATACACGTTTTTTATGAAAAGAAATATTTTTGCATATAAAAGTTTATTTTGACGAAATTATAGAGCAAGAAGCATCTTATTTCCAAGATTTTAAGCGCATATAAATCCGGTCTCTAACTATAACTATTACTACCAAGGCCGGATTAAGGGGGGGTCTAGCCGGGGCGGTAGCCCCGGGGCCCTCTCGAATACCCAAGTGAAAGGGGCCCAAACAATTTTAAGCCGATACACAATTTTCAGTGATTTAAAAAAAAATAGTTTTTCTATATTTTAAAAACCATTTTTTTTATCGACAAAAATAACTAAATAGTAAATACTTACAAAAGCACTATGGTAGAAAAGACGCATTTTACCACGCACTAAGACATATATATTATATATATCTTATTTCGTGCATTTTACTGTTATTTAATATTTTCATTGATATAAATAATATCTTCAATAGATAATAATGTTATAATTTATGTTATTTTTATCTCTGTAATAATATTGACATATTATAATTAGAAAATAATTACAAGTCTGTGGGTAATATTGCCAGTATTGGTGGAATACGGGAAATCGCTCGCGCTCTAGTATTGTACGAATATATATTTTTATCTCGATTCTCGATGCATTTAAGTTATTTATAGTAGCCCGTAGTGCTTATGATATATTAATCTAGACGATCTAGTATCATTTTATAAAACTAATACTGCATTAAATACGAAACTAGTGACTACGAAGTACGAACTAATAATATTGATTTAGTTAGATATTTTTGCCCTTTTCGGTTTAATATTATTACAGACTTTACAGTTCACATTTCTTTTGTGTGCAGTGTATTGTATTATTTTTCATATTGTGTTAACATTAAAATATCCGGATAATCTTAATTTTTTCTAAAATGATGAAATCAAAAGTTTTGAGTGGATCAGCGAAAAGAAAGAAGAAAGAGCAGCAAACAAAAAATATTTTACTAACTAATAAAAAAATCAACAATTTATTTAGATGCATTCGACCTGGTAAGTGCAAAGCATTCAAATTATTATAGTTATTATTGAATACCTACATCAATACATGTTATTTTCAAAGCTAAACATTTTTAAAACTAAACTTAGTATAATATAATATACTTATCAATCAATAATATTTTGAACCATTAACTTGGCCATTTGTTTAAAAAGAAATTATCTTTTTAATAAACAAGAATGAAACAATTGATATGTTATAATTTTTAATCAATGAATTAAAAAAAAAAACTACTCTTTTATTAACTATTAAAAATAAAATACTTTTATTAAATAAGTATTTTATTTGCAAATTTGTTATATACCAATTTTTATTAAAACATTTATTTTCATAATATTATTATAATAACAAAGAAGCCAATGGTTCAGCTGAGAGCCAGAGTGACATTACGCCACAAGAAAATTTGTTGGACATCAGCACAAATTGTGGAATTGAAGAAAAATTAACTGAAGGTACCTAAATATATATTTTAATTCATTTTCTATCAAATAACTATTTTATTTGCAAATTTGTTGTATACCAGTTTTTATTAAAAATTTTATTTTCATAATATCATAATTACAAAGAAGCCAATGGTTCAGCTGAGAGCCAGAGTGACATTACGCCACAAGAAAATGTGTTGGACATCAGCACAAATTGTGGAATTGAAGAAAAATTAACTGAAGGTACCTAAATATATATTTTAATTCATTTTCTATCAAATAACTATTTTATTTGCAAATTTGTTGTATACCAGTTTTTATTAAAAATTGTATTTTCATAATATCATAATTACAAAGAAGCCAATGGTTCAGCTGAGAGCCAGAGTGACATTACGCCACATGACAATTTGTTGAACATCAGCACAAATTGTGGAATTGAAGAAAAATTAACTGAAGGTACCTAAATATATATTTTAATTCATTTTCTATCAAATAACTATTTTATTTGCAAATTTGTTGTATACCAGTTTTTATTAAAAATTGTATTTTCATAATATCATAATTACAAAGAAGCCAATGGTTCAGCTGAGATCCAGAGTGATATTGCGCCACGTGACAATTTGTTGGACATTGGCGCAAACTTTGAAATTGAAGAAAAATTAACTGAAGGTACTACCTAATTACATGTTTTAGTTCATGTTTGCTCTTGTTTGGCATTGAAACTGTATTTCATTTTTAGATAATATGGTAAAAGTTAATATTGAAGAAACAACTACTGAACTGAACAGTGTAGATTGGAATTTATACAAAGATCCTTTTTTCTGGCCAAAAAACATGCCAAAATCTTTTATTGAGTGCTGTATAGAAAAAGGACCTGATTATTTTCAAAATTTGAACTCTGATTTTATAAATTCAAAACGTTCAGGTAATTAAAAAATTCTATAAAAAAGTTATTAACAATCATTAAATGTTGATAAATTATGTGTTTATAATATACAAGTAAATACTCAAAGGTGCTTAACTTGTTAACAAGTTAAAGTTAAGTTAAGAAGTTTATTTTTTAATTTTTTAACTTAGCTAGTTTAATCTATCGTTGATATAACTTAGTTGCATAATACATTAATACATTATACATTAATGCATATAAAATATGTATTTAATAGTAAATGTTTGTATTTTATATTTATAATTTTAAAGGATCTTGTATAGGTACCTACTATGAATTATACATTTATAACTATAGATTTTTTTATCTTGTTTATCCACTTGTTTTTATTCTAATAACTTAAATTCACCTGTATTATATTAAAGCATTTCAATCACTTTATAAAATTGTCTAAAATTATTTAATTAGGTGAATTGCAATAGAATGTTTAGATGTCAGTTATCAGTAAATATTTATTGTGACTTTTTTCAGATAAGAACTTCAACAGACACTTAACACTAGCAATGTTTACTCGATCTTTACCCAATGGACAAAAATGTAATAGGAAATGGCTTCTATATTCACCTAGTGAAGGATCTGTATATTGTTTTGTTTGTAAATTGTATGGAAGCAATCGAGAGAGTCCCTTTATTTCTGGTGGTTTTGACAAATGGAAAAAATCTGAACGAATTGGCGAACATGAAAATAGTCTTCAACACAGAAATGCTACCAATAAGTGGTTATTAAGATCTAATACCAACAATTCAGTTAATAAAGAATTATGTAGTCAAATTTCTGCTGAAACGAATTATTGGTTTGAAGTATTGAAGAGACTTGTATCTGTCATTACATTTTTATCGTCTAGAGGCCTTGCTTTTCGAGGAAAGGAAGAAAAGTTAAATAGTCAACACAATGGAAATTATCTTGGCCTATTAGAACTTATTTCAGAATATGATCCTTTCTTAAAGGCTCATATTGAACAGTATGGAAATCAAGGAAAAGGCAACCCATCATACCTTTCAAAAACCGTTTGTAATGAATTGATGACAATAATGAAAAATAGTTTATCTACTTTTATTATTAATGAAATAAAAGAATGTAAATATTTTTCGATAATTATGGATTCAACTCCAGATTTGACAAAAGTTGATCAAATGGCCATTATTCTTCGTTACTGCACATTAACAGGTGTGGAAGAAAGACTTTTAGGATTATTTCCCATTAAAGACCATCAAGGCCAATCTATGTACAAGGTATTAGATGACTTTCTTGAAAAAAGTGAATTAGACATCATGAACATTAGGGGTCAATCTTATGACAATGCCTCAAACATGAGTGGTCAATTTAAAGGGCTTCAAGCTTATGTCAAAAATAAAAATCCATTAGCTGTGTTTATACCTTGTACAGCTCATTCGTTAAATCTAGTTGGAGTAAATAGTGTAAATTGTTGTACTGAAGCTGTCCATTTTTTTGATTTTGTACAAAAATTGTATAACTTCTTTAGTGGGTCAACTCACAGGTGGAATGTACTTATTAACATATTGAAAAAAGAAGAAAAAAATAGTGTCAAAGGAAATTCTAGTCGACTTCTTACACTTAAATCCTTAAGTGACACTAGGTGGTCTTGTCATGCAGAAGCTTGTAAAGCAATAGTTGTAAATTATAAACAAATTTTGACTGCTTTAAAAAGTATGTATGATGGCGAAGAAAATAATGTTACAACTTTAGATGCTAAATCGTTATGGAAGAAAATGGTAAAAAGAGAAACTGCATACATGTCATTACTTTGGAATGACATCATGGAAAGAAGTAACAAAACGTCAACTAAATTACAACATTCAAACTGTGACACAATGAAGGCGATCAACTTATTAAAATCACTGAAGTGTTATGTGTTAAGTTTACGGGACTCAAATTCAATTTACGAAGAAAAAATACCTAATCTTAGTCCTGAAATTACCATTTACTACTCAGATGAAAAGCAAAGAAAAAAAATTAAAAAATTCCCTGATGGTAGCATAAATGAAGAAGTATTAAAAGGAAAAAACAAATTTCGTGTACAGACACATATATTTATTATTGATAAATTTGTGTCAGAATTAAACAAAAGAATTTCCGCTTATGAATATATTGGTGATCATTTTTTATTTATAACACACTTAACTCAAGAATCTAATGAAACAATTGATTTGAGTGTCTCAACATTTATTTCAAAATATAAAAATGATGTAGATATTACTTTACAGAATGAACTTGTACAATTTAAAGAATACTGGAAGCTTTGTCAACCTTCTTTTGATCCAGCTGACATTTCCCAATTATTTTCCTGGTTTGGTAATCAATCACTCGAAGAGGTATTTCCTTGTTTATTTACTACATTAAAAATATATTTGACAATTCCTGTTGCTAATTGTTCTGCGGAGAGAGCTTTCTCCAAATTAACAAGAATTAAAAATAAATATAGAACTAGTCAAACACAAGAAAACTTAGATATACAAATGATTTTATATTCTGAGAATGATTTGTTAAAATCATTAGACTTAAATGATGTACTAAAAGAGTTGGCTTCAAGTAAAGCAAGAAAAAAAAAGTTTAATTAATTAAATAGTTTTTGTTTTATATATTATTAACTTAAGTTTGATATTTGTTGTATACTATTAATAAATTTAATAGTTATTATGAAAATTTGTATTTACTTTTATCATACTAAAATGAGTAATTTTATAGACATAAATTGTACAAACCTATTAATTTTATAATTTTATAATGGTATTGAGAATTTGTGAAATAGTTAAAAAATGTATCGTTCTGCGAGCGTAGCGAGCGGCTTTGTAAAGCATGTTTTGTCAAAAGGGCCCATATAAAATTTCAGCCCCGGGGCCCAATAGGTGCTTAATCCGGCCTTGATTACTACATATTACATTGAGTAAAAAAATTATAGTCGGCATTTTTCAGATTATTCACACCCCCCCCCCTTGATTTTCGTCTTCGGCCATGGGAATCGCTAATGGGCAGTTTAAATTAAATCTGATGACATAATGTAGGCGGCTGCAATTCGATTGCGCATGCTAAATTATTTTTACTTCTAAGCAAAGTTGCAAAATGAGTAAGCAATACGAAGAGTATCTAAAAAATAAAACGCTAGAAAATTTACTCAAGTATTTAGTCATAATTGGAAATAGGTATCAGGGATTTAAGATTTAAACTATTTTATTTATATTATTTTTTTATAACGATTTTTTTTTATGAATATTTTTTCGATTTTTTTTTGATACCTATTCGAATATTTAATATTATTTTATTATAACTATTTTTTTTTTTAATGAATATTTTTTATTTATAATAATTATTATGTTCCTTTATGAGGTAGACTGAGTGAGAATATAGAGAATCTGTTTTATTTTGTGATATAGATTTAACGAAATGTTATTTAATAAAATAATATTAAATATTCGAATAGATAACATTTTTTTATTATTTGTATATAAAGTGATTTTGTATCGAAATTGATGATTTTCAATCGTGTACCAATTATTGTTTTTTTTTTTTTTTTTGAATTTTTTGACCTAAAAAATTGAATTTAGAAGATATCACTGGGCTAGTCGAAAATTTGTTTGTCTGGGGTTTTTTCTGCGTTATTATCAAAAACGATATTTTTTTATAATAATAAATATTTTATATTTAAATAATAATTTGGCAACGTCGCATCCAATTTCGCGCGCAATCGTGCGCTTTTGAAAAAGCATGATTATTGGTTATTCCGGCGGTAAATGACCGGAGAGTGCACGCGATCGACAGCGCGCGAAGCAACGAATATGAAATTTATGAACGGCCAAACGATGGGTAATTCCCGAGACTCGCGAGTAACGCCACCGTCGCGGCGCGTGCGTAAGCGCGTATTGCGGAAAGTTTAAAAATCGGTTCACGAGCGAAGACTCGGATAATCGAAATAGGTAGTTTAAAATATTAAAATATGTTTGACATAATGCAGGTGATACACTTACCTATAAGACAGACACGAGGCGTCGTGGACCGACACACTGCACAAGACAATCAGGACCCAGGCTGCGATGACAGGAGAGCGCACGCGGACGTCAAGGAGCGACGAGCGCGAAACAACGAATGCGGATGTGAAAACTGGCCACTGGACAATTACCGCGACTCCCGAGTAACGACACCACCGCCGCGCGCGCGTAGTGGTGGGACGCGGCGCGCTCGCGGACGATTGTAGGAGACTAGGAAGTAGGAAATCACTGCTGTCGCAGCTAAATTTAGCCACGACTGTAATATTTATTTTTATCGCGTGGAAATGTCGGTTATAGAATATTATAAATAATACTTCTCTATAAATATTAAATAAACCGAACGGCTAATGGGCGGTTTAGAACACGCGCGCACGGTACGATAACGACGGTCGACGACAATATTATTATTATCCAACGAGCGAGTTTTGGGGATTTTCAAACGGCAATTCGGTCGCGGGTTCCGTTTAAATCCTCTCCAAAATTACATATTTTTTTTTTCATATACTCGTCGTCTCGTGCCTCAGCTCGACGATCTCCTCTCTCCGCCCGCCACTATACTCGCTCTGTACTCGCCTCTACAGTTTTTTCGCTGTACCCAAGCCACGGGCGGCATGTGCACTTTAACACTCGTGTACACTGTACACCTTTACCCTTTTTACGTCTACGGTGTATCGGCGTACCCACTCGCTGCTCTATACGCCTATATCGGTATATTACGGGGCCTAAAATTAAGATTTTTTGCTACTGCACGCCTAATTCCTCACCAAAATATTTTAAAATAATGAACATAGGCCTAGTAGTTCACACACCACATAATATGACTTCGTTGCATAATTATTGTTTTTGCTATTCATTAATAATTAGTTATATTAAATTCAATCCAAGACAATCTTCTACATAATATTAAGTCCTTGATACCTACATGGCTTATGACTAAACATTTTTTAATTAAAAACGAAATAGCTCGGGTTAATATTATACTTTTTAGAATACGGTGTAGTCTGTACTGTTTTTAGTGTTAAGAATTTTAAACGAATACAATATGCTAATTCGTAATTTTCAATAATCAAAATTGAATATTAATCAAATAAAAATTTATAAAAGCCTAAAATAAGCGCTTCGCACTTTTAAATTTGCTACTGCACATTTAACATTAGCTACTGCACTTAGTGTGTGTGCTACTGCACACAATTTTATTTCCTGATATATTATGTCATACCCGCATGTGTTGTCTCCGTCTTACAAACATGGAAAAAACTTTCCTCACGCCATATTTGTTGTAAGACTACCGAATTTTCACAACACGTAGAGGAGATCTTTATCTGTGCAACAGCATGCTGTTTTTTATAATAGCACTATGCAATCATTTTTATAAGCAAATGAAAAAAACAAAATGTTTAGAAGCAAATAACTTTTATTGTATTTACGATTTCTAAAATATGGGCACGCTGTTGCATAGATAATTTTCCACCCTATATGTTCAAAAATTTTGGAGCCACTACTACAAACGGAGAAAGATAAAACTTGTCTTGCTCAAAACAGTTTTTGCTATGTTGTACATTTGTAAGACGGAGACAATATATGCGGGTGTGACATCCTCCAGTCGACACCCGCGGCGACCCGCTCTGAGCAAACTGTATATAATTAATAATAATTAATCTTATTGTTATTTAAACAGTTAAAGAGTAGAAGTAAATAAAATATAAACGCTGTTGGTACTGCTCGTAATAATTTTTATTTCAAAAATAAATTCAATAATATTAGTGATGAAAATAATTTTATATTTTTCAATCATTCTGTATATTGAAGGAACACGCTGTATATATCCGAAGATACGTTATGTTTTTAACAAAAGGTTATTAATGTTAATATTATAAACGGGCGTAATAACAAAAATAGAGTATATTATAATATTATGGTATGCTGTTGTTATCGACGTTCGAAGACATCGTCATTTCGGGGAAAAAATAAATACATACACTAAAAATAAACTAAAAATAAATACCAATTACGCATTTTTGTTAAATGTAAGGAAACTTCAGAGGAATCTTGTATGAAAATTTCAAATCGTAAATATACATGGAACATTTTTTACGAATTTTTGAGTCGCAATAATTTACCAATTTTCGTGTTTTGATGAATTTTGTCAAATTTTTACACATTTTTCATTCGTCGTCCCCAACGACCCCAACACAAATCCGTGAATACGCCACCGCTTAGACACGAGATAAATGTACATATATGTTTGATCCGAAAGTTAGAAATTTTTTCGTACACTAACACTTGTATACGAGGTGGTGGGTTTTTTATGCGAGTTTTTGTCGCCATTGTTGCAGTGCGAGCTCAAACAATAGTTTCTAATGTAGTAATGTACCTACCCGGCACTGTCGTGGCAGGCGGCAGCACTTCGACATTACATTTTCCGTGCTCTGCCCAAACATATTTACGTCTCGGCGAACTATACTCAATAATATTATATTATTAATACGAGATGCGCACTTCAGTGCCGGCACAATGGATTTCGTGGCCCGGTGCAGAATTTCGCGGGGTCCGGTATTTATTTTATTTTCCAACGGACCTGCTTATTTTTTATATCAGTTTATACACTTAAAGGTCTCGTTGGAAATCTAAATTTGTATTTTTAAGCCAATAAAATCCGATTTGTATTTTTATATCAGCCACAATATGAGTAGGTAGGTTAGTACCTACTCGCTTAGTTACAAAAAATATACGACATGATACAGAAGTATCCGACGTCTTGGGTATAGATTTTGTGAGTAAAAGCCCGTGAAAAAAATATTACATATCGGCCAATCGCCCTTGTTTTTAAAATTCAGACAAGAACGATTTTAACTTTCCAGATAATAAGTGTTACTGAAATTGTTAATACCTAAAAAATATTTTCCTGGTTTTAATAGTTCCCGAGATTTATATTTCACGTGAAAAATGTATACTTAAATTAAATTTCCAGGTAATAAGTATTACTGAAATTGTTAATATCTGTAAAATATTATTCCCAAGTTTGTTTGTTGCTGTTTTAAACTTCCCCGATTATGATAGCCCTATACATAAATGTTCTACATAGTTTGTTCTGAAAAATATTTTCCCTGTTTTTATTTTCCTGATGATTTTAATAGTTCCCGAGTTTTATATTTCCTGTGAAAAATGTATCTTTAAATTATATTTCCAGATAATAAGTGTTACTGAAATTATTAATATCTGAAAATTATCACTCCTAGGATTGTTTGCTACTGTTTTAGACTTCAATGATTCTGATAGCCCTCCGGTGGCTCGTGTATACACGCACGAGTGCACGTGCGCACTACCTACCCAGACTCGAGAAAAATTGAAAACATAAATCATAGTTATACAACTATGCGCTTATAGTGTTATTGAGATTATTATTATTTTTTTTTTCTTTATTAGTACTACACAATCTGTACACAATCGGCACAATAAGAGTATGAGCTGAGACACAATAAAAAATATGAAATTATGAGCTAAGAAGCCACCTACCGATGACACTTATGTTTTTTTTAAATTATTTGTTTTAACTTAATTATTATTATTATTAT